GTATTTTCTTCATTTAATTTTAAGGCACTACTTGTTCTGTAGTGGATTCCCTAAAAAGGACGAACAAGGTCCATGCCATGTAGAAGAAAAGAGTAGTGAAAAGAGCAAGTTTTTTATCCGTAAAATAACTCACCTTATATGGTGGGAAGTTTAGCGTACCGTCATTGGTCAAGTTTATCAACAGTTTGTATCAACCCCTTTCAACCTTGTTTGATCACAACACTCTCAGCAAACTCACATCTTGTTATTGCTCAATATCTATTAACAAATGTTTTTTTAAAATTAGGTTTCTGGAATATTATTAAATACTACTACTCTGTTTTGGAAATATATTAAAGTTATAAGTTATTAGATATAGGGTCAAGCAAATAGCCAAATCCCGAGAAATGATTTTAGGGTCAAAAAAGAGGTGATCATTCATAAATCAAATATCCGAAATCTTTGTTTAAAAATAAAAACAGTTATCTATGAACTTTTTCAACTAACGTAAGTATGTATGCTAGTAAAAGATACCTTTAGTCCAATTGAAAATTCCAAAATCGCTGAAATATTATTTTTTTTTATTTATACAACTAAAAATGGCTTAAAAGTAGATAAATTTATTCACACGTTTATTTAGCACTTACATCGAGATATCAAACGACACTAATTAAACGAAATTTTAAGGAAAAATAATAGTTATTACTAACTACTGAACTTTTACTACAACACAATTAATCAATATCGGTCAAAATGTATGTCGTTTATTTGGAGCAATACAAAACAATACAGCTCAAGAAGGTTATGTATTGGTAGGCCTATTCAGTGATTCAATATCAGTCTAAGAATGTACCACACAATTCATATATATTTATTAATATTGTTCAATTATTGTTGCAAAGTTTTGTATTGTTATAGTATTTAGTGTAACTAATTAGTTGGATACAAAGCATAACCTCTTCTAATACGAGGCCATGGCGTACTAAATAGGTATTTACTCAGGGGAGGTATAGAAGAGGCTACGATGACTACGATGATGAGGCTGTGGGCTTCTTATTAGCTGAGGGAACGCCATTACCGTAACAAAACGATTGATATGCATCGACTTCGGTGGTCTAATGGTTAGCGTGCCGGGCTGATACACTGCATGTCCCGGGTTCGAATCCCGCCGGTGGCATTAACTTTTTGTCCAAGATTTTTTTCATTTTCAGCAAGTTTGGTTGGTTTGGTTTGGTTATTACAGTTTAATTTTATTATTAAGTCATTATAAAATTTTAATTGATCAATTTCTAGTTTTATTTTATAAACAGAATTATTTTTCCGATTACTAAAAACTTTTGTAATATTATTTCTTTATCAGCAAGTTTGGTTAGTTCAGTTAGGTTATGATAGTTTAATTTTATAATTAAAAATTAATAAAATAGAATTTTAGGCATTTATAATTTTATTTTATTAACAGAACTATTTTTGCGATTAGTAAACCTTCATTGCCAAGTGCCATTGCCATTGCTTCAAGTGCTCTTTACTACAGCGCTGTTCACGGAGGAATTTTGAACTAAATGCCTCATTTGTACCTCCCCTAAGTCAGACCCTACTAAATATGGCAGTGCCGCAGCCCCAGTCTAACGAAACAGCTGTTGCACTAATGCATGGAGCCTTATCGTCATTTATGTAGAGCTTCATCGATGCATGTACAGATTTTAAATAGTAGTTTAAGTTTATTAAGCTGCCACGGTTTTTATTACCGTATCAACTTTGTAAGAGGCCGGATTGTGCGACGTTAATAAATACTAACGATAAGGCCTTGTATTTTAGGATTATAATTTGATTTTAGGGTATAAACACATCTTTTACAACTGTAACTAAAGTATTCAGTCATATATTAAAAGACTTTATTTTATTGTTTAATCGCCAGAAAGGAAATCATGGCAAAATGTTGACCTTACATGACGCACATTTTAACTTTCTCTCGTTTCAAAACGGGCAATGCTGGTGTTAAAGTCCAGGGTGATCAAAATTCAATAATTGTATCCTTAAACAAAAAATAAATGTTGTTCAGACTAAAAAGGTCAGTCATTATGTTAACAAACAAATCATAGTTACGGTAAGAATTGTATCAACGTTGAACTTAAACTTAAACGTTAAACACAAAAAAACCAACAGTAAATGAAGGGTTGAGTGGATGAAGGGGGCAAGTAACAATTTTGTAAAATTTGAGTTAGATACATGGATGAAGGGTGTAAGTTATGCTCTATTTAGTACACTGACTCCCATAGTCCTAAGTATAATGAAAGCTGAGTTATTGGTTTTTTTAACTTAGGGGTTAAGTACAGGAAATGCACCCAAATGGAGTGTATAAAGGTGGTAGGTGCTTCACTTGTCCCCTTCATCCACGTAAAGTTTCACTTACCCCCTTCATCTATAGGCCTTGGTGCTTCACTTGCCCCCTTCATCCACGTAAAGTTTCACTTACCCCCTTCATCTATAGGCCTTTGTGCTTCACTTGCCCCCTTCATCCATGTAAAGTTTCCCTTACCCCCTTCATCCATAACTCTGCTCACTTATCCACTGCACGTACCCCCTTATTGTTAGGTAATAGTAGCATACGTACTGTAGCTAACATCATATCCAAATTAGCTGACAATGAAAATTACCTTTAACATTTCCTATTTGCATTTTAGTGTGTATTAAAAATGTATCGGACCGTATTGGACCCACTTACAACGAGTTGTTAGCTATTCTTTATAGGTAACTGCTTCCAAGAAGTAAAAGATTGTATATGAAAAATAAATATTTCTTAGAAAAATTGCAGAGATAAGACTGATAAGCATCTAATAAAAGACAGTTATTACTTGCACATTTCAAAACTTTAAGGTATTTACAATATTGTGGTATTTGTTTTGCATAATTGGCTTTTAGTTACTATTTTTTGGACAAAATTACAAGTCAACACATAAAGTCTATGATATAGGCTTTAATTAAGTTGACTTGTTACATTTAAGTTTATTTTGGTGCAACAACCTTATTTAAATGTACTTTTTATAGTAACATGTTGAAACAAAGTATTTCATTTACCAAAAATAATTTATTTTAATTGTTTACATCACTTAACCCCTTCTTCCACTCCGAAACATTTTTTTCATGTGGATAAAGGAGGTAAGTAATAGAAAAGTTAAAATTTTAATAGTAAGGAACATTTGAATTTTTATTGAGTATTGTGCAAAAATTTTTACTTATATACCCTTCCTAATAGCGTTTTAGGAATGAAAAAAATTTAAAAAATTAAAAAGTTATAACGTGCAATCGTCCATTTATCTCAAAAGTGACAAAATGTTACTTACCCCCTTCATCCACTCACCCCTTATATATTTATATTTAATATAAAAGTCTCCGCTTGCAAACTGTTTATTTGCCGTTGTATCTTAGAATTAAGTCCAGATATCATCATCTGAAACTCAGTGCTATTGGCCAAACTAAGCTATTGGCGCAACTGCTTGTAGACCTATTGTGTCGTGAGTGTATTGTGCTATATCCAATTGCAGCCACTGATGTAGGCAGTCAGTTAGCAGTATAGGGGCTTATATTCGAAACAAACTAAGGTCTGTAATTCCGTTATGAGGTTATTTCACTACTATAGAAATTAGAACATGTGGAAATCATGTTGTGTTACGTTTGTGTTGGTAATATCGTCTATGTTTTGTTTTCTCAACTTCCTATTTTTGTATTGGATACGTTTTGTAACAAGGAAATTCCAAAGGAAAGTTAAGGGATCTAGCTGATTATGATTTATTTATGGGTAGAAAGTAAACTGCTATACTTATATAATTGGACTATTGTAGGAGAAAAACAAAACAGAAAAATGTAAATAAAATAAATGAAAGTTGAAAAGATACATAACACCTTTGCCTATCGATTAGTTTTTTTTAAGACATTCTAGTAATTATCTTATCTCAATCATACATTGATGGGATTACCTTAAAATATTACTTTTTGCAATATTACCTTCTTACTTTTAGCAAACTGTAGGGAATCATTGGTATACCCTATAAATTTATACAAGTTAGTTTGATATAGCATGTTCTGCTAAAAAAATTTAAATAACGTATAAAACGTTAAATATTAAGTAAACTTTAAATATTTAAAAAACTCAATTAGCAACCTTTTACACACCATTTTATAGTGAATACATGTTACAACTCTTATTTTACTTGCAATAACATTCTTTTGATATGTTGCCACAACAACATTTGTATCGGGTGACCTCCAAATTGATTAAATCTGTATAAAGATATCAAGAGGGTTAGCCAACATATCATGGCACGTAATGTTATTTTGTAGGTAAAACAAATTTAAGGTTACTATATTAACTTTTTCATATTTCTTAGTATCATATTTTTACGTTATTTTGTATTTAGGAGTGATAGAGCGCTGTGCATGATATAGTTGTATATAGAAAAATAATTTAAAAAGTTTAGGTTATGTTACACTAAACATAAAAACTCCTTTGTTCTTTATCTTTACAGTAATTACAGATATTTACCTCTACTTTTACACCGGTACTAACACATCTGCTTTTAAAGTTTTAGTAATGAGTCAATTGTAATTGCTATAACGTTTATGTATTTATGTATTAACTTGGTGCTTAACCTATTTCGTTGTTGTCCTTAATTGTAGTAAAAATATTTGAATGTTAATAGTTTGATTCACGTGCAATTTAGTTTTAGTGTAAGGCCAGAAAAAAACCCAACTGACTTTATTGGCCCTCTTGATTAATAAAGATGGTTGATGGATTTTGTCAGTATTTGCTAGTTTGAACGTTTTAATTACTAATTTAAGTTAACAATAATAGTTAGAAATAATATTTAAGTAACAACTGACTGAAAAGATTGACATAACATTGCATATGTTTAAAAACAACCAACATAGACAATCAAAATCATAGTTAGGATAAATGAAACACACAATATTATTTAGTGATTTTATTGTAAAAATATTATGTATTTAAAACAAACACTAGATTACCGTTTACTTTCTTTAACAATAAACAAAACATATCACTTTCGAACAACGAGTTGATTTGATCAACCTATTTTTCAGTATTATAGATGTCATTACAAACAAAACTGAATATACTATATATAATTATATATAAAAATCCGAACAGTCTTTTTTTATTACAAGCTATACAATATATACAGTAAACGATCCTTCCATTGTCATGACAAGATGATCTGATTGGTGTTTGGGACCAAGTAAATTATTAATATTAAATCCTTATGTGTGTGTGTTTTTTAACGCCCACAAAGAAATTTGACCTCCAATGCTAACACAAGTAATTTCCCTAACGTATAATGTAAAATTAGTTTCATCAATTTTATGTTGTCTTGGGTCTATTAGACTCTTCATAAAACATGTTCCATTAGAAGGCCAAATACAGTTCACTTTAGATTAAACTGTATAGGCTAAATTGCCATTTTGGTATTTGTTAAGTGCATTTCTCTTGATTAATTTATTATAAAGTGTATGGGTTTACATATTTGTGGTTGAATAAAAAAATAATGTTTAGCTTTTTAGTAAAAATTTAATTTGATGACAACTGAGTACCCTTTGAAAATGGATTTAGAACAGTTAATCTAAAAATGGCAACGTTTGCTTACATCGTGTTAATTGTAGATGGAATTTAGTTAGTACAGAGTTTACCATGATTTTAAACAGAATTATGTCATCGGGTCACGAAGAGTGAGTTTTTGATGATAATTTCACATGATTTAACACATTCACTACCAGATCTCACAAAGCCCGTCATACATAGAAAGTGGCTGGTAGGCATCGAACGTGTTAAGGACATTCCTTCCAAATCCGGGACGAACATATTTTTGCGCGTTGCAGTAAGCTCTATCACAGTATATTGTTCCGAGTTATCACTTCCTGGTCCATCATGTCGTCCACTCTGACGTCACTACACCCTGAGACTCCGAGGTCGGTGGATGTTAGAAGCAGTAGGTCCTTGCTTCAGAGGTCGCTGACCTTGATGACGTCATAGCTCTAGGTTCTACCACGGGCGATTGTCATCCGTAGTAGTAACTACTCTGTGTGCTTCGACTGACTCCGACAGTGGCCATGGCCTCTGCTTCTTCTTCACAGGAGTATGTAAGAATCTGAAACAAAAGTAAGACAAAATTATAACTAATAAGGTAGTGTAATATTTTGTAGAGCAATCGTTGAAGCAATTTTCTAATACTACAGAGTGTCCCGTAACTCCCTACAAATATTTTAAGACATTGTTCTTGAGTAAGAAACATAATATGTTTCATATATCATTAAGTCCTTACTTACTCACACGGCCACAATTTTTGTATTCTACATTTATAGTTTTTGTCTAAAAGTAGGTTAAAGATACGAAATTGAAACTTTGCAAGGACATTTATGACAACCAGGCAAAGCTACAAAAAATGAAAATTTTTCAAATTTTCAATACAAAATGGCGGTTATTTATTTATTTTTTATTAAATCAATAAAAAACCGTAGATTTTTAAAAAAGTTTTAAATAGCCGCCATTTTGTTTTATTATTTTAAAAATTGTTTTAATTTTTTTGGCTTTGTCTAGTTGTCATAAATGGTTTTGCAAATTTTCTATTTCGTATCTCTAACAACTTTTTAGAAGAAAAAGTAATAAGTGAAAAAAAATAGTGGCTCTATGAGTAACTAAGGACTTACGGACACTTTAAATATGATATTAGATATGTTTCTTACTCAGGAACAATGACCCATAATATTGGTAGGGAGTTCCGGGACACCCTGTACATACGGTTTGCTTCTCTGTAGCTATTGTGCAGCTATAGATATTAATATATAAAACCCAAAGACAACGTAATATTTGACAGAAATTGATACATTATATATAAGAGTAAGTAGCTTTAAAATGGTTAATAAACATGTTTGCCAACCTTTTCTGCAAAGTAGAATCTGATTATACATAATACTTCGTTTATCACATTATCAGATTATTACCAATTTCACTGCAAAACACTAATTAGCTCACAGTGGTCCTTGAATATCTGGCTTCAGATACACGAATAGTATACGATTGCTTGAATTAATTTAAACGTTGACAATAAATAGCTATCTAATATTATCCAGTAAAATCTACATAAGAAGGTCTTTGTGACCTTTAACAGACATTTGTATTGATAATTTTATAGTGTTTAGTTTGAACTAATCTTAAAAGGTCTGAATATAAATATTTTAATATCCTATTTACGTTTATTATATACTTGGAAAGATTTGAGTAGCTTTGATATACAGTATATCGTAAAATACTTAAATAAATAGATAATTCTAAGTAACAACAATGAACAGTTTTTATGCAGACTTAAGTATAGATTTTCTCGGGTAACGAAGAGTGGCAGATTGAGTCCTGATAACCAAGCCACCAGATTGTGGCAAAGTTTACTGGCAGTGGGGAAGTTTAGCCACAGATTACATCATGCTCTTACATCAAACTTGTTTCTCGCTGGTTAACACAACCCCTTAACAAACTTGGAACTTGTGATTAGGTTATTATATTATATCGTAAAACAAGAATTGTCCAATTATTACAGGTTTTAATCTTTATTCAAGGGAATGTATGGGCACAAAAAATCGGTAAACAGTACATTGTATTTGTATTTTTACAAATAGATAAGGCTGTTAAATCAATGGTGAAGGTGATTTGTTCTGAAGTAGTTTTAATAACAGAGCAAATATATCTGCTATTGTTGCAGTTCAGGAAACGGAAAACCTGATTAGATAGAAGTATGGTTACTATGTGTTCTTTGATACATAGTTTGAAAACGTTACTATGCATCAAACCGTATTCAGAAAACCTGAAGGCTTGGTCATCTCATACAGAAACAGCAGAAAAGGAAGAAAAATGACTATTAAAAATAACTTTAAAAAAATTAAAACATTCAGTCTCAAAAACGCGCAATAAACAATTTAGTTTAATAAATATGGTAATTATATTTTAATAACTTAACATCTATAAGATGAATCATGAGTTTAAAGAAAAGTCGTAGGCCTACTATAATCCTGGATTTTTCTATATGCCAAATAAGAAAACAAAAATATTATTGGATCTAGGAATGTTTAACAATGATAACTAAAAAAAATACCCCCGCCGCAGCAAACCTGCAGACTAAGCGAATTTCCATTTGACTGATTGGATTTACACTGAAATGTCTACTTAAATATATAACATTTATTCCCGATTTAAATAGAATTAGTTTAACAAGTACCTACTTAGGTTTGCTGCATCAGGGAGGGTAAAACTGTTTTTTTATGTTAATAGTTAGTAAGAAATAAAAACATTTTCCAAATTTGATCAAAATATGTTCATAAACAAGCAAACTACAACATTTTACTTATTCTCCATAAAAATAACATGGGCATTTTAAATTTATGATTTTTTGGAATTTTTCTCCGTAACCATTAGGCGCATAATAACGCTTTAATATACTAAATTATTTGTTTTTTAAGCTCTACAAAATGGTTTGGAAAGATATTGCTAAATTTTACGTTTTTTGGGTCAAAAATGGGAAAAACCTATTTTTACCCCATAAATCCCTCGTAAACCCCCGTTCCCATGGTCCGATCATGCTGGATCGCGAACTCGTTCGAATAAACGTAGGTTTACACGTTTGTACCAAATTTCATGAAAATCAGATCATTTTTGCTCGAGTTATCGTGCTGACGGACACACATACAATATAAACTAAACAGATTTAGCCAAACTGATTCTAACACTAACCTCCTCTGGGGGGTAGACATGATGAGGCCCAGCTACGATTGTGACGGATGTTGGTGTAATGTTGATCAGGTCCATACCCGTGTCTACCTGACACACCTCGGCGGCGAACACCTTGGATGCAGCGGGGTTGGAGGCTCCTGCCTGGAACTGTTTACGTTGCCAGAGGAGCCAGACGGTAACCACTGCTAGGGTGGAGGACAGAAGAAGTGTAAGGCCCAGGAGTAGATAGAGGAGGCGCTCTTTTCCCTCTGAAAGCGAAAGAATTATTGTATCCTCATACAAAATATTGGTTAAGTTTATTCGAATACAGATGTTAAACGTGTTTGTATAGTATATTTTCCTGGTTTACTTATATTCTAGTTTAAACCTTTAGGGTTTATAATCTGAAGCTGAATGATTCTTTGATTTTTTTGGAATATAATTGTTTTCTGCGTTTAGTGCTTAAAACATTGGATTGATGTACATGTTTTTGTGTCCGAGTAATTAATTGCGACTCTTCAGAGCATCACTGATGAGGAGGTATTGTTTTCATAACTTGGTATTCATAATGGGCTTTAAAACAAGTAGTCGTACAACAAAAAGTATCGATAGGACGGAATAGTTAGAGAATATTTAACATAAAATATTATCCGTATTTTTTTTCGTAGCAGTAAAGATTTTTTTTAGGAATCAGACCCTGCAAATTGAACTGTAACTACTTTAACAATTTGGTTTAACAACTTTACGACTCCCTTTAAGTGTTGAAAAATCAGTTAAACTAAATCTTATTCTCGCTACTGGGTGTCTCATTTGATCGTAATCAGACATGGATAATTATGATCAAATATTCCGGGACGTGGCTATTTCACACTGACCACATCGTGAAGTGGGTAAACATTTCAGACATTGTCCGAATTTGGAGTTTGAGAGTAACATATATATTGGAATAAAAGAAGTTGTCAATCATGTTTTTTTTTTAATAGTTAAAATGTTGTAGTTGCGCATAGTAAAACTTCATCGTAGATAAAGATTAAATCTTTGCACTTTGTATAGAAAAGCCATGATGTAAAACGTTCTTAATACATAGTAAATTATGTTTTAATTACTAGGTGTTTACTAGTACAAATGTGTTATTTAACAATATCAAAAATCCACGTTAAAAACATACGAGCTTTTATAAAAGCAAGCAAATCCAATTACACCGCATATAAACGCATTTTCGTTCGATAAAATAGCTAGGCATAAAACCTCATTGTCATCATTTTATTTCCCTACTGACAACGCCCGATAACAAACATTCGATTTTCATTATGAGATTCAATTTTCTCAACCAGTAAATGATTTTTAGGCCAAGTACTCTGATTGTAATTATTAAATACAATAACTGTAATAGTAAAATAAATAGCTTAATGTCTGAAATGCTTTGCTTTTAAGTCATAAAACATTATTGAGCTCAGTCAGGTTTGATAGAAAATTCATCGGTTTATTTTGTGAGCAGAAGGGAGCTCATCTCAGTTTAAGGATAGACAAACTTCCAAACTAAGTTGTTAAACTTGTTTAGCTGCAGTCAATCTAAGCTACTTCCTACCATTGCTCTTCTCCCGGTGGGCGTGTGGGCTGGCTGGGGTATAGGGTAGAGCTGTAGTGTAGTTCTCTCTTCTCCCCGCTAGGTTGGGCCACTCACTGTATGACTCACTCTCCACTAAGGGATCTTCGTAGTCATACTCTGGGTCCAAGACTTCATCCTCAGGTAGGGTGGCGTCTACGAACTGATCTAGAAGCACCTTTCTTGGGGCTAGAGATAAAATAGATAGTAAGATGGTATAATTTATAGATTTTGTTGCTACCAATGACAAAAGGTCAAACCTGAATCGGCTTTGACTAGACTTTGTAAGGTTTTCTTTTTTTTTGGGTGAGAAGGGAAAATGCTTTTATCCACACAGGTAGCTAGCCTGCATTGTGAGACTCCTGAATTTATCAGACTTTTCACTAAAAAAACCCTCTGCTCTGTTGGACACAGCCCTGGAATTGTTTGTCACATTACTTCAAGTCTCGCACTGTTTTGGGCATTTAGATTTTTTATGACCTACACCGCATCCCGGTCAAGGTCGAGCTTCTTGGCGCGGATAACACCCTGGATGTAAAGTGACACACAGGTCCAAGTGTCCTCACCTTCCATCATCATCGGTATGAACTTGTAGACTTTGTGATTGTAGACTTTGTGTGGTAAATATTATTATATTATGTTCAAATGTGTAAAAAGTCTGTTCCCGAGGTCCCAAGATCAAATCCTGCCAGCCACCAATGATTTTATTTGCGTAATAGTGCCATCCATGGTCATCTAAGCCTAGGCAGAAGTGATGCTTAAAAGTAGTTCCGGGCTAAAGATTAGCGTCCTAAAACGTGGAGATGTAATATACAAAATAATTATTATACTAATGTAAAGTATTATAATATATAATGTATTAGTAAACACGTCTTAGGTAAGCCAACATTATAGATACACCAGACATAGTAGGTATATTTGTTATCTTAGTGGTTTTGAATTACTTCGACCCTTATTAAAAATATGTGCCAAATACGTAAGTACGTTTTAATGAACGTATGTACCTCCTACTATCTTAATATGCTTTTAATTTGATTTCAGAGTAATCATTTTGAGTTACTTATATTCCACTATTTACTTTTATCGAATAGCAAAACATATATGTGTGCCAATGTATATATTTAATACTCCCCCTGCACTGAATACTATATATCAAAATACATTCCGCTATGTTTTACTCACCACAAGTATACACTACTTTGAGGTACATTCTTGTCTGGTGACCACAGGGTTTACCCAGAGTCCCGGTATCAGCTGATAAAGAACATTTTCTTCTTCCATGACACAGCCTCATTACCGTTTCTGTAGTATACATCGCTAGGCAGGCTGGAAAATTAGAAAAATATTAGACAAAGTGATTGTCGTATGAATAAATATTTAACCAACATGTTTGTCAAATATTGTAGCAGGGAAGTGTCAACTAAGAATATATTATTGCAAATAGTATTACCTTAATTATAAAACTCTTAGGTGACATACTAAGGATAGTGTTCATTTTCATTGAGAGAGACTTATAACGTTCATTAAGTATATTCATTGGCATCTTTTGAAATAAAATTAACTGATATTAAATAAATAAAAAAATATACATTCTTAGCAAATTCCTGCGTTATCAATTGGTCAAAAAGTTAAGCAAAACAACTAAAAACTAAGCTATTTAGAAAAATCGTTGGACATAAAATATTGTCTTCTCTAAAAACTTTTGTTAGTGCTTTGGATTATGGATATTAAAGCAGTTAAATCTTATTTGTTTATTGGATGAAGCAGTTAGTTCGCTACAATAAACCTTTATAGCTTAGTATAATAAGTATAGTAGCTTGAAGTTTTAAGATTTCAGTAATATTCAAGAGTTCTCTTAGTTTTAGTATCCATTACCTTTATTTAATTAGTATAATATGATGGTATTTAATATTGGTATTGTATATATTGGTTTCTAGGGAGCCTGTCGATAGTATAGTCTAATAATTGAAGCTAACTGTTAAATACATACATGCTCGTTTTTTTTTGCAGGATTAAAAACGTATGGACGATACAATTTGTTTACAATGTATTCATGTTGTATGAGATTCTTTTCAAGACTGGGTAGTAGAAATTGGTTTTTTAATTTAAAGAAGGATGCATTTAGGAATACTTGAGGTCGTCCAGTGGTCGAAAACTAATATTTATATTTCGTTGATATTTTTTTCACCAGCATGGCAACCCATAAGGCCCATGTTAATTTATGTTTAAATTTAAATTCTTTTTTTGTGCTTGTTATTGAACCTATTTTAACTTATAAAGGGATTCTGCACATCTACAGGAAATATCTTTCTAACAGTATGCATAGATTTTACATGCGATGCACACGAGCTTAGAAAACAGGTGTTTAAGAAATATGCTTGCCTATTAATATATAGACGCTACATTACATCGAATATGATGTTAATAAAGAGAACGCATTTCAAATAATATTTGACGTTGAATATACACACTATATTACTTAGTAAAAATATGATACATGTTAATCGTTTTTGTTGATAAAGTACTATTTCAATTTGATTTTCCCATCTATATATTCACATTTAGTTATCATTATTCAAACACAGCCTTTAATTGAATCGATAGTTATATATTGTTAATAATTCTTTATCGTGATCCTTCAGAGATGCGTGCACCGTAAGATTGCAAAAATTACATAGTTTAGGATTCGTTACATAAATCGATCGTCAAGCTAGTATTATCTTAAAATGTAAAGACGGTTATCCCCAAAATATAAAGATTCAACAGTCAACTTAAAAAGACAAGCAACAATATACTTGGTTGCCTACTTTCTACCTGCTACAATACTCACTTTCTTCGGGTATCCCGGGAGGCTGTGGACATGAGACACTTTCATACTCGGTTCTGCCAAAGCTCGCCGAGTATATGGCTATCCTAGAGTTTGGACCACAGCTCAACTGAACTATCTCATTCTCACAAGCCATCTTGCTTCTAAATTCATCTGAAATCAAATTGCCATTCAGAGTAGTTCATTTAATTGTTTAAACAGTAGAAACTCGATATCAAAACTTTCGTGGGGGATATAAAGTTATATTTCTTATAAGGGTTTTCAATTAAATATGATTAGGGGTAAACAATATTCTAGGCGATTTCAAAATGACCCTTGTATTCAAGGAGGTCTTGTATTAAGGTCCAAGATTTGATTTTATCGAAGGAAACTTCATGTGCCAGATATTGTGTCACGTGTCTGGTTTGAAACAATCATGGTTGATTGTCACACAAGCCTTTGACGCTGCTGTGTTTGTAATGAAACACTTTCAATTATGAAGAGTGGTTGTAATATCATTTATGAAAGTAGTGAAGAGAAGAGATTTACATCAGTCTGCATTTAAAGTAGAGAAACACTAAACATGGGAAATACATTTTTTTATGAATGGTATTTTATATATTTTGTAAGTTATTAAAACAGAAAGTATGATTGAAGACGATTTAGTGAGATTTTATGCTATAGCAATACAATTGAAACGTATTTGCGTTAATATGAACAATAAATATTTCTAAATACAGTTTATATAAATGTTAAAGTGCAATGTTAGTTTTAATGTAAGTTATATATATTTTTATGTATAAATGCATCTTTAAACGTTAAAAGCAGAAGTGTAATTATATTGCGTAATTTATCTAAACAAGATAACGTTCACCTTATAAGCATTGTTTTGTATATCCCCCCATATTTATTTTCGTATTTACAAATAGCGATTGTAAACCGCATCATAATGCTTTTGTCAACAGTGTGTTTGAGTCAATGGTTTGAGTCAATCGACTTATGTATTAAAAGTATTATTCCAAGTAAATATCAGAGTTTTAAGTTTAAATCCATATATATTATAAGCTTAAAACAGTTCTTAAATAATGCCAGTTGTGTACTCACAAGGGCGACACTTGTAGGCAACTTCCACGAAGTTCCTCAACCACGGGCAAGGGTCAGGGCTTGGCGTAGCGTGGAACCTGCAAAGTCGTCTCTTGTGGCACGCCTCCACAACTGATTGTAGCAGAGAGTACTAAGGGAAAACATGAAATTAAAATAAAGTGATGATACACATTGGTAAAAAATCTTATAAGTAAAAGTTGTTTAATATTTAAACATAAAATAAATATTGTATATTAACTGTACTAAGTCCAGATTCGTTTGAAGAACTCCGTTTGTTTTATGGTTTACACATTTCCAAACACTCGGCAAATATAACGATATTTTCTTACATAATTTAAGTTCATTTTATATTCAAACTAGCTGTACCCGCGGGCTTTGCCCCGTTTAACTTCTTAATTTTCAAGATGAGCTCGTTCGCATGGCTCAATCTGGTCCTGGTGGAAGTTCGTTCGCTACGCTCACTCACCTTTAGGTTGGAGCTCGTTCGCTACGCTCACTCACCTTTAGGTTGGAGCTCGTTCGCTGCGCTCACTTGCCTTCAGGTTAGCTCGTTCACTACGCTAACTCGCCTCCAGAATGAAGTTCGTTCGCTACGCTCACTCACCTTTTGGTTGCAAATTAGCTGTTGTCATAAATAAAAAAAAAAATAATAATAGTGCTGCACCCTGTTGGTAATCCTTGTAACTTTAATGCTATTGCACATCATAGAACAGAACAAACTTGTTTAATTGAAACAGCTTATTCAAATATTTGTAAATATAGGTAATTTTTTTAGCAACAAAATCTATTATTACTCTAATCAATCTTAGACTGCTATGTTTAGTTCGAATATGACTCAAATTTGTTTTGCCTCAAGGATTAAAATAAATTGTTCACAACCATATTTAATAAAAAAAAAATAACTAGAAGTTTAGACTATAAATACAACAGTATCCAGTAGTCAGTGCAAAAAGACAACGGTGGTTTTGTATATCGGCTGATGTACCGTATATTACTTTCAAACAACTCTCGTTTTGCTTATATTGCCAAACTACCCTACGTGCATGTTGTTTTGGAGTGATGGAGAATCAAAAGGGCTAGTCATGACGTATTATTTATTCCTGTTCGTATAGAAGAGGAAACCTCCTTTAACCTAATCACTCTGAACTAACCATCCTATATAGCACCACTTACAGTCGTTAAATTAATCTATCTTGGCATCATGAAGCTTACTGGGTCCAGGACAGGGCATGTTCCAGTCTTGGCAATCGTCTGGTTGGTTTGAGCCATAAAGAATACTCTAACCTAATCATTCCTCAACAAACCACCCTATTTCATAAGAAGTTTTAGTAAAAAAAAAAAAAAAATTATCTAGCACTACGAGTACATGTTAAATCTACCTGAAGCCTACTGTGTTATGTTCAGTTTGTACAGATGACCAGTTTGTAATATAAAGAACACTTAGATCTTGTCATTCCTAAGCTAACCGTCCTATTTAGCAGTAGTTGAAGTTGCTAAACTAATTTATCATGACACTACGCGTATATTGAAACTCTACCTGAAGCCCAATGTTCCAGGTACAAGTCATTTTCCACTCATGGCCGTCTGCTGGGACAGTTTGTTTCATAACTAATTGACGTAATCATTCCTAAGTTAACCGTCCATTAGGCAGGAGTTGTAGTTGTTTAATTAATTTATCATGGTACAACGAGAACATGTAAACTCTACCTGAAGCCCACTGGGCTAGGTAGGCTTTAGATAACACTTCCTGGTGATATACTCCTGGTCAACCGTTGGAACAGTTTTTTTTTCATAAATAACACATTGACCTAATAATTACAAAACTAACAATCCTATTTATCAGCAGTTATAGTTGTCAAATCAATTTATCTCTGCCCTAAAAGTACATTAAAACCTACCTGAAGTCCGCTGGGCCAGGTACAGGTCATGTTCCACTCTTGGCGACCGTCCGGACAGTTGGTGCCGTTGCTTTTGCCGTACTGGGCGACCTGGACGACGATGCTGGTGCGAGGAGGGCACTGGAGAACCATCAGCTGATCGTCACACACTGCACGCTGGAACGTCTTCAGAGAGTTGGACAACAGAGCTGCAACCCAGTACATATATATAAATAAATGGGAAAACTCAAAATATATTTTCCAGAATACGTTTTACACTTGTGGTCATGGTCATCATCCTAATATCCTAATCTAAATGTATAGAATTATTAAAACTAAAATATGTTTGACAGAATTGAACCTAGTATTATATGTGTTAGACTTTGTTAGTTGGGACCTGATGCTTGACCCGAATTTAAAAAGGTGCGAAAATGATAATAAAAACGCTTTACCATAATGGCATTAGCACGAATTCTAGAACAGACACGGTATTGGAACATAAACGTAAACAAACGGTGTTACTGGTCTGAAAGTAAACATTATTTAACATTGCTTAAATTGAACTGTCTGAAACAGCGTACGGTTTGGGCCACCAACATAATTTTTGTGGATAGTTATGATCCATACTTGTTCTGTTCAAGTAGGGCAATATGATTTAACAATGCATTTTTCTCGGTCATTCTGACTTCAGATTTAAAATATAAATCAATAGAGTTAAACAAAAGACATCTAATTAGATTTACAACAACAAGGACCAACAGCAATGTCATGAAACATACGGAAAATCCAACCTCATTAACTTATATCAACTAAAAATAACTAATATAATTAAGTCCAAAAACATCAAGCGTCAATCATAACATAATTATTTTACGTCATTCAAATCGCAGTTAGGGGGATAACTTACTAAATTTATGGTTTTTGTCCACAAAATATAACTTGTTGGACTTTTAAGGGAAATACTTCATACGCTATGCTCCAAATTGTATTTCAATGAAGTAGTTTTTTAAATAAATTATAACTACAGATTTATAACTACAGAATAAATAGGACCATAACATTCAAAACAGTTCCACATTAGTTGTAAAGAAACTTAAAATATCTGTAGTCTAAGAGATTGAGTTGTACACTACAGTAAACGTAGTTCTTATTGATTAATAATTTCACCTACTAAAGTCAAAGACGGTTATGATTGTTTACGAGTACAAACGGTGATTATTATTTTAACTAGTTATATTTCTCTACCAAAATAATTTGTAAACCTATTTATTTAGATCCGTCGGAAAACATCCTAAATCACAGGTTAAACAATGCCAGTTTTGAGATGTGTTGTGCTATTCAATGATAATATTAATACATAAAATAATGATGTATGGGAATATTCTATGTATTTATTCCATTTCAGATGCCTTTGTCTGCCATAATGTTCAATACATTTGATCCTTGGAGTAGAGATCACTTTATAATGTAACACAATTGTTTGATATACTTCAGGGTGAATTATCCTTACAATATTGGAGACTGTTCAAATATAATAGCTTGTTATTTCCTACAAAATAGGTCAATTGAGAAACATAGTGTTTCAAGAATACGTTTCATTGGTGTAAAATAGGACGTATAAGAAAAACGTATTTCCGCAGTTATATAGTTTTACAAAGAATAAGATAATTTCAAACGCTCAATAAATAGGCTTTCTTTGTTTTGAATCCCTCCTTATAATTTATACATATTTTGTTGTTGTGAATATTGTTTTAGTTAAAGACACTTTATTTTGTTCTTTAATGTACCCTATATCACTAATAATGGTATGAGTTCTTTGATATTTTCCCTTTCAAGTATACAATATATATCTTTTGAGATTTTGTCTCAGTTGCATTACAATAATTTTTGACAATGCATGCTGTTTAGTGAATGGTTTAAAAAGTTAGGTGTATAGAAATAACAGGTTTTCTTCGAACCACCGAACAAATTCCTAGCTCGATTTTAAATAATATAGCAATTTGATTTTATTCCATTCAGTATGGTTTATTATATACTAGCAGCTATACCCATGCCATGCTTCGGGTCAATATGCAAAGAGACAATGTTAGTTCTTTGAAAATGCCTTAAAAGTGGTTTCACTTCTACCATTTAATTGAGAAACGATATTAAACTATGTAGCTTAGCTTGATAATAGTACGTTTATGTTAATTCAGACTGTGTACACTATTTAGGCTACATATGACAAAACAACCAATGATATATTTTTAAGTATAATCAAATAACACGTTGAATGGTTTATATTGTAAAATAAGCTATCACAATAGTTTTAAACCAGTCAATAGTATAATTTTTCCAACATATTTTAGTTAAATTATATTCAGGCAAATAGAAATTTGCTTAATCTGCAGGTTTGCTGCGGAAGGGGTATTTTAATACTGTTTACACACAAAAAAAAATTAAAACTCAGGATAAGAGCCTAGGTTGATACCGCAATGATTAAATAATCTTAATTATTTCCTACATCAATGAATAATCTTACAATGACTTAACCCACATAGACTCAGTCACTATAGATCATAAACATAAACAAATGACATAACTGTAATAGTCCAATAATAATGACATTATATGGTTTTACAGTTTCAGTTATTAAACAATGTTTACATTCAGTCGAGTGACATAGTTTTTATATTTATGATCCATACTCTTTCTATTCTAATATTTGTAATATTGTTTCTATTAGATTATTTATTTTCGAATATTTAATATGCTTTTATCAGCTGTGAGGAACTATGAAATCAAAATTCATTTGACACTTTTGCTTGTTTACATTTTAACTTTGAAGGTTTATTCCTTGTTACCATGGAGACCAATCAATATTTAATTTCAAAACTTGCACCTCAGAACTTTGAAAGCCCGTGGGGTGGAGTTCTAGGTCAATTTCAAAGCAGGAGCACTTCTATATGTATCATCGGAGCTGTAGGTTTATTTTATTTTAAGTTTGAGCCCAGTAGGTTCAGTAGTTTTTTTGTTCAGCTCATACAAACACACAGACACACACAGACAGACAACACCTCTTCTTTATAATAGTATACGAGATACATAAAACGGTTGATGATTTAAACGGTTTTCACAAGTAGTTTTATATATGTTAAAAGTTTTTTTATGTGTTGTGCTATTACTTTATGGGTTAACTGTGAAAACTGTAATTAATTAACCGATTAGTCTTTCAGCCAAACTAAATAAATAAGCAATTACAAACCTACCAAAAATAAAACTTCCTAAACGTAATATGTATGCGATGTTCGAATCATAGAATGTTACTTTGAAAAAAATGATTAGCTGGTTGTTAGTTTATTTACTTATTTATTAATCTAATTTTATTAAATATTAACAAATTGACCTTATTGACTTAAAAACACATTTTAGTCACTTCAGGAAAATATAAAAATGACAAGCCTCTCATCATCAACACACTTAAAATTTTAAACACATTTTTTAACAACTATCACGTATAGATTTTTCTTTAAAATGATTTAACTACCCTATAAATCTCGAAAAGAATTTCTTTACAAGTTAGTTAAATTCAAACCTTTAACGTTTAATTAACATAACATGTATAGAACCGTCGAATAATATAACCAAATAGAAAAACATAAAGTTGTGGGTTGAACGCATTTGCATTTAGATTGAAGTATTCAGCGGATTACGATTTTCGAGTCAGTTGAGTTGTAAGGAACCTGCTCAATGCAAACTTGCCTCCAAAGTTACAACCCCATGCACGTAATATTTCCACTTGGCCTAGCTCCACGCTTTCAGAGCATTGCGTCTTTATACACCTTGTTACTTCGAAAACATCTGACTTTCTCCCAATACAATAATTTATTCTGCATGAAAAATGCTTATAGTTCTTTTAGTGAGAGTATATTATTGCTGCCCTCTAACAATTAATTACGATCAAGTTGTTACATAATAGTTAATCCTCAGGAAAAATAAAAAAAATAACAAGCTTAACGGATTTCAGTGTCTGAAGGTATAATTTTTTTACTTGGTATATTTTCATTCGCTATTATGTCGATAACATCCTAGCACAATCCTAACACGGCGATGCATTCTAGTCATAACTGTTGTTTTTTTATTAAAATTATTACAAATTTAATATAGCGAGCAAATATTAACAAGTAGTGATAAAACAATGTCATGATTTGAAAATATATATATACTAGTGGCCCTAATTTAGACACAATTGTCTATATGAAGGCAACTCCCCGTGTCACGGTAGTAAGTCAGAAATATATCTATGGATTTGTCCCTGTATTTTAAAACATTAATGCGACTAAGGCTCATTTCCCGGAATCTCTTGTTGTGTAGCGGAAAGCGACGCAAAAGCTATTGCACTGTTGTATTGCCTTATGTTTGTTTTGAAATTATAATCATGTAAAAACAGTTCTTTTAGTTCGTCATTTACTTGTGGTTGTGGCATGTTAATGAGTCCATTGTGGCAACATGCGTTGAAATGTCCATTTGTGGCCACATCTGAGAAGTGAAATGTGCCACAATGCATGCAAGTGCTGTTAAGAGGACCTAGATTGTAAAAAAACAACACTCAACTCATTTTCCAGCGTTCTTCTGAAGGCAGGTTGTAAACCAGATTGTGGATTTCTTTCATAGTTAGGCCTTAAATGACGTTCTTTTTCAGCATTCTTGTGTCAGTTGAATTCCTGGATACTCCTCCACGTCTTGCAGGTCTTCCCATACCCTGTCTTGTTACTTTACTCATTATAAAAACGGAAAACAAAAAAAATTAACACATATCATTTTGAAACATTATTTTACAACATTGACTTTCGGAATAAATGTAAACATTGCAAATAAATAAGTAACCGCTGATTATAATGCAGACGTTTTTCAGACCCTATGCTTTTCTTATGGTGGATATTTTACGTTGTGTCTCGTTTTCTGGCAACTTTATGGGAATTTTGCTATTTTCCCGAGTCCCTGGGGTCAAGACCCTTAATTTAAGACCCCTCCCAATTTTCTGCAACTTACCAGACGTCCAGAATTTTCTGGTTAAAGTTTTGTCTTACACAATTATATATAAGGAAAAAAAAAATATTTAACAGCTTTGACTACTAATAGTTAATGCTGACAGGTAATTTAAATCTATAAGGTTAAATTTGCATTAATTGATGTTCAAAAAAAAATAAAAAAAAATAACTGAACCTAA